AGTAAATTTTAAGGTTATTCCAAATATTACTGTTACAAATAATTTTAACTTTAACGGTAACCGGCGATATGGTGCAACTCACCCTAAGTGTCTCATACTTAAATTTAATATAACCTAAATATTTGCACTAAGTAGTACATCATTTATTTTGATTTTTTCACTCAGAAAAAATTGGAAATAGGGAAAAATGTCATTTTGTAGTTAGTATAAATATTTTTATCAACATCAATATGTTCAACCGTATATCCAAAGTAATTTTATTTCGCTTGGAAATACCCAATGGCAATTTTTTTCAACATGATGTCGATTTAATACGTTTTTACGAAATACGTGCATTTGTGGAATAGCAATTATCAAAATTGTTTAGTCTATCTAAAGTACCTATAAGTTTGAATTTGTCATTTTTAATATAATGAAAAAAAAAACAGAGGGATCATTTTAAATCATTTAGTAAACTTCTAGTGGTAAAAAATATCGGGAAAATTATAGGTTATATTATGCCACACATATCTTAATGTTTAATTGTCGATGGTCAATTAAGAAGGTCAAGTAATCAGTTTTGAGAAATATAGGGCATATTTCTAAATTAAACTTTTTTTATGATAGCTAGGAGGAAAACTGGAGAATATGCATTGTTATATTAAACTCACATGTTTATAGAAAAAAATATATTCGAACATAGATTCAATTATAGATAAAACGTCTCCGTGTTCAGGAATGACATCGCTACCTTATCTAAGAAATTGCGTATACTAGTCTTGGTATGTCGTAAAACTTTGTTGTTACTGAAAAAAAAACATTTTTACGTCTAAGACACCAAAAAGTAATGATACTAATGTTAAAAATAACGGAATGACTTTCGGGACCCTGGCACTAAACTTTGCGAGAAAGTGATTTTGAGGCGCCAATAGCCTAATGGTAAAGAGCACGTGGTTGAGGATTCGAATTACTTTAAAATATTTCCTAGCTTATGCTAGGCTTATGCCTAGAGCATAGATTATAAGATATACTAGTTAATTCACAAAAATATGCAAAAAAAAAGGAAAAGAAAACCAAAAAGTATCCGAAAATCAACGACGAAACTTGAATGAAATTTTTTGGTGTTTTACTGCCCATAGGGGGCGCCGCCGATTACGATTACTAATTATAACTACTATCTTATAATGTAGTTAAAAACTGGTTACTTGTGAATTTGCCTATGCTCTATCATACCCTACAAGCAGTATTGAAACTAACGGATTCAAATTAGTTTACCTTTATCTTATGTTTATTGCATGTCTTCTACTGTTCGTCTGCCGTTTCTACTTACAGTGCGCTTGCTTTTGATTCAATTACAATACATTATAATGTTATGTGAATGACTACGCAGAGTTTATTCATACATTTTAATTAGCCCCATTCCTGTGTATAGCTTATCAATGCCTATATTTGTGAACATTTTTTTAGAACATCATTATTTTTACTAAGGAAGTAGCTTATCAATTGTACAACTACATCTTATTTTTGGGTACGAAAATAACTAACTATAAGAATAATATGTACTCGTAAGTAGTATGGATTATTTAGCGTAAGAGAAATATAGAGCATAAAGACATTTTACGGTACTGTAAAGTGTAATGTGCATGTCAGTAAAAGCTTAGTACAATGATCTATAAACGCCCTGCGACATATATCATGTCTGCAATATCAAAGCACACCTATTCCATAGATAAGTGGGAGCAGCCACTAGAGTACGCCGCCTCGAGAGTGAGGGCTTTATTTCAAAACTATCGCTTTGTTTCTCCTCTTAAGAATGCAAAGGTGTTCCTGCGGAGGTATCGCGTAGGCCGCGAGAGTCCCACTGGTCAGACTAGTCTACACCGACGCCGACACCGACGCTGTTGCTATATCGGGATGTTATTGCGACCAGTCGCATTATCAGCGGTGCTGGACATCGTTTCCGCAACATAACGTCTTCACCGGCCACTCGACGAGCCTGTCGTGTCGCGCGGGAGCGCTCCGATGAGATATGGAATAGATAATCAGCATAATTATGAATGATCAAAGTAATCGGCGCGATGTCGATGTCGGGTAACTGCTGTCTATGGCAATTCCCCAAGTATCTATACGTAACGCCGCGGCCGGCGCAAACACGGAAGCGGTCGTGACGCGCCGTCCGAGTGGAGCTTTTGCTAATTGGCTGTAACTGATAGATAAGCAATAAAATCAATGGTGGAGGACACCGGCTGCATCTTCAATTTATGTCGATGTGGATTCGCGATGCGTCGCGGGCCGGCGCCGTCCCCCGCCACCGGGCTTCATATTTATACGGTTAAGCGGGCAGTGCGCAGAGTTCAAACGTGCGACGGGCGCTCGGGACATTAGACGATCGAGGAGAGAACAATCGCGTGGGTAGAGGCGGTACCGGGCGAGTGCAGTGTGCAGTGCGTGCGGGTCGTGTCGCGGAAAGCTCGGCCGAGAAGCCTCCGAGAGCGCGGCATCGCGAGCCCGCCTCGCGCTCGACGCGTCAGTGCCGGCCCGGCCGCGCCGAACGCACAACGTATACACAGCTCGATAGCCCGACAGCTCGACACCTCGACACCTCGACTCCTGCCACGGACAGTGTAGCGCGCACCGCAACCACAATTGCCGTTTGCCGCCACCATCAGCGCGGACTTGTTTCATTACTGAACACAGGTGAGTTACTTTTTTTGCAAAGTTTCATTTGGTTATGCTAATTTAATTAAAACAATTTTAAGTTGTTTATTTTTACCGTGAGATCCTAAATTATAAAAGTTTCAAAAGGATCCCGCTTACAAACAGAGGCTTCTTTGAGAATCATTTGTATTAAACGGGCCGTTGAGCTTTTCCGCCGCTACGCTTCCAAAGAGCGCCTGCACTTAGAGCTTTAATTTGAACATTTTTTACACCTTTGAAAAATACAGATATACCTATAATTTGTTTAGTTTTTTAAAGTGTATGCGTGTATTTACTTTTGAGCGTAAAGACATTTGCTTTAATTTTCTGCGACTTTACGCAGGCATAAAAATAATTTGACTACTTATTCCTTACTTTATTTATTAAAGTTTCTGTGAAGCAAAGTTGATTTTAAATAAAGTTTGAATGTTTTTAAGTTAACTAAAACATTTAAAATATGATTTATCACATCAGATTTAATACTTAAGACTATTAAGTAAAATACATATTTCTTCAATTAAGTATAGATGGAAACTTTAAATAACAAAACAATTTCATTTAAAATTTACTTAAAAAAATAATAAAAAAAATTGTATCCTTCAATTTAATTTTCCAATAAATTGGTAACATTTAACAAAAATAACTTTTATTTAGAAACTGAAACTTGTACAGTTAGCAACATTGCAGGTAGTATTGTCCATTTATCTGAACAATCATGGATTGTCTTTGCTGAACACCTGTACGAAAGTATCTTTGATTGTCCAAGATGAAGCAATGGGAATATGGGTTTTATAAGAATATTTGGGCACTGAAAAAGTAATATAGATTAAGTTATTCCAGTAATTTTCCAGTTTTCACAACAGCTATAAAAATGTCGTAAAAAATCATAGAATTTTCACATAGAAAGCTCTCAAAGTGTTTTCGTCAAAGTTGTTTCGCGTTTACTGCCTTCATGCCATCCCTCTTAGCATCATTCATTATTCATCTTTGTTTTCTGGCGCATCGCGAGCGCTACCGTACTGTAAACTAACACAAAGCGGCTAAAAAGTTAATGGAAAAGTTTTTCATACACGTCTTCAAACATCATGCACCCTTCACAACATTTCTTTTGTTAAAGTTATACAGGGTGTCCGGAAATTGATATCTAGAATGAAATACACTAGAATTCTTGGTTAAAACATTTAAATATGGAATTTTATGTTTTTTTAACAAAAAAGTGAAAAGCATTGAACTCCATCAAAACATTTTTTATCGAATAGTTTATGTAGATATACAGGTTGTTACAAAACATATTAAGGGAAATGTTATGAAGCTGTCTTTCTGGTATTTTTTTGTTATTTTACCTTAATTTCAATAGAGTCCGAAAATGCTTAGAAAAAGACGGGCAAATTTTAGTCTCGTATACGTTCGGACTCGGGATGTAAATTATAAAAGTGAGCGTATTTTCAATGTCATTTTCCTTTCTATTTGGGCCTTTTCGTAGTAATTTGATAGCTTATGATTTTCCTACGGAGGTATTAAGAATAATTTAAAGTGAATTTGCGTTGTTTTTACTAGGGCCTGTGATGTGTTGGTGTCGAGACAGCCGCGTGCCACGGCACCGAGCGTGGCGGATGCAATATTTCACACTCACCACCGCTAATCATTCACGATTGCGCCAACAAAGTTGATTGAATTCAAATCATGCGCCCGCCGCGCCGCTCTCTTCCAGTATCACCCGCTGATTTTCGCTCGTAGTTAATTAATTGGCATTTACTTATATATGTAGTCTTTAACTTGAATTCATCAATAGCCTAATCCGTTCTATAAAATAATACAGTAAATTACTCATACAAATCTCATGAATAATTATTTAAGCATGCTTAACATTGCGTTTAAGATAAAAAAAATAAATCAATTGTAAAGTAGACAGGGATCGATTTTTTTTCTTTGTGTTCTTATACCTCCTACTTCCTCAAATCAACATTCTTTTCTTTCTTGATTCATTATAAACATCGAAAAGGTTTTTACCCAATGCAATGGCACTTGTTTCACTAGAATGCATTAAGCAAATATCAAGAAATTACAATAATTAAATACGTAATGCTTACAATCGCGATAACAAAAAGTACCTACTCATTTATGGCAATTGCGGAATTTTTTGTTAAACCATAACTATCACTATTGGATAAAATGTTTATTGTTTTATTAATATACAATTTAATTTAGAAACATTCATTGCCCTTTCAGATTTTACTTTTACTATAAAAATACATTATTAAATTGACTTATTCGCAATCTTATCTTTAAAAACATGGCTTTAATAAATTCCAACCAATTATTCCATACTAAATCGCTGGTTTAGAGTTTTGCGATAAACAAAATAAAATAATTATAAACACGTATGTGTCATTTGCATGAACATACAAACAGTTAATTGCGCACAACCCTGAAGATAATCTTGATAACATTTTCTAATTTAACACAAGAGCGCGCATCGAATGTCATCCTGCCCAACTTGTTTCGCTTCTCGAAGTTACTTTTTTGTCCATTAGGTGCAAGTGAATATTATACAATGAAATAATATAATAGAGGCTCTAATTACTATTGGCTTTAATTCAAGGATTTCATATGAGATGAAAAATATTTTTCATCTTGAATCCAATTCATAAAAACTTTATTTCCCTAACTCGAAGGTTTACTGTCCTTGGTCTGAATATATCAAAAGCATTCTTACGGAAAAGCTTAAAAAAGTCACCGCTTAAAGCTTAAATAATTGTAGACCATCAAAGCAATAGCAGGGCTGTAACGAAAAATAAACGCAATGATAACGAGATTGGGGTTTTAGCTTAAACAGAAAGTAGGAAATCCAGAACGTAGAGCGAAAACGATGTCATTGGAAAATGGCGTACTCATTCTGTCTCCGATTTACCTATACTAAATTCCTTATCGAACGAATCCACTGAAAAAGTGACGTATTTCGGCAATTTGTAGAAGTTTGCGAGTTTCCTAGGCAAATTACAAACGGACGGCGTACACAATTTACCGGTGACAGATACAAAACGTGGAGTGCGAAACGGCGATTCCGATATGCTCGATTGCGCAAAGGCGGGCGCGAGTGCGGGCTAGCGGGCGAGGACGCGAGGCGCGAGCGAAGCGGGTTCAAGTGCAGGGTGAAGGTTCCGCGAACCGCCGCCGGCTTGTCACGCTAAAAAATATCCTTTTCTTATACGTTTTATAACGAACGAAGCCCTTATATTATGTTACCTTTTTGCATCATTATTATTTTTGTAGCTCCATCTTAATATAGAGCTTCGGTTTCTTTACACTGTAGTTATGGAGAATAAAGAGATTATTAAAAGTACTTTATTGGTTACAGAATGTATACTTTGCTACATCATTCATTATGCTTTTTATTGCTCAAGTTATTTAATAGGCTTGTTCTTATACAATCTATTTATAAGATACTTATGGCCGGTTTCCCAGCTACGTTTAACCATTCGTTAGTGTTTTTGGTTCTATAAATTCATGAAATGCGTTTTTTCAGTAACTTCAGTTTTACTCTGTTGAAACTTGAATGAATCTAGGTAACGAGAATATAAGTGAAAACCTCAAAAACCTATTATTATTAGCTCATGACTCTTACAGCTCGTAGGTAAGAAATATAATTAGTGTTAGGTTGAACTGTAAGTTACAAAGGAGTAAAACTCAAGTTAGGTTGTTCGGAAACGCATTTCATGATGTTGTTTTAAAGTAAATGGAAAACCGGCCGTAAGAAAGTTCAATTATCTGTCATATTTAAGAATTCTATTACTTTTCGATAAAATTTAAAAATTTAGTAAAGTAATACTGTCTTATACTCATTACCTCTAGCAAAACAATAAAATATTAGATATTACTAGTTCGCGACCGTTGGTAATCCGTCATAAATATGCAATTTATATGTAAGCCACATAGACATAGAGTAGCGATGTATTCCGAGAAAGGAATTACGCGGAGCACATTAGAGTGTGTATCAAACACTCAATATTTGTGATGAGTCAACGAGCCGTGGTATCGGAGGCAAGAGGCATTGGAGATGTTAACGGGCAACCCACTTCTCTGTTGGCAGCGTGACTGTGCCTACCTCGCCAACTGACAGCCGAGAGATCGATCGCTGTTTAATTCAATACACTTTGATAATGCATAAAATTGTTTATTTATTTATTTACACTTTGTACACAAGGAAAATAATCACAAAAAAAAGATACATATTGAGCATTGGTAGTACAGGCGAGCATAACTCTAATAGAGTTTTCTTACTGCTAACCTTTCGATACAAATTAGATGTTTAGCAGGTAATGAATGATGATGTGCAAAGTAAAATAAACACTTAAACAGTAAGGTTAACAAAAGCATACACTATATTATATTATATTAGCTACATAAATATTAACATAAAGATATATACAAAACAAATATACCTACATACATACATACATACATACATACATTTTATGTAATCATTAACAGAATTTATGTAAACAATTTTATTTTTTCAATTGTTCGTACTTAAGAATTTGATGTTTTGTACAGAAAACTTTACAATTTATCCTTCCTTTAATGGAACAATTACTCATAGTTGGGTATTCATTTGTTATAACGTAAAACTTATCTAGTTATCGTAATTATATCACGTCTTCGACCTTGTAAATAGTTTTTTTTTTGTAAAAACTACTAAAGCTCCTAATAATATTTATTTTCAAATAACTCTTAACCAAACAAACTTAAACTACAAATCATAAATATTAAGAATTAATTTGAATGAGATTAGTTGCAATATAACTGGTCACACGAATTCAAGCAGTGCTTCTTTTATGGAGCCTATTAAGTGCTCGACACCTTATACGGTGCGGTAAAAAAGCCTTATTGGCTATTCTTATTCGAAACTACACTAAATGGTAGCGCCTTATTGCCTAATACGCTCGCTACATCCCATTTAAACGTCCGTCTGCAGAGCCTGCGGGATCTCTGCCAGTCCT